TCCGCGAATATCGCGACTGGAGAAAACATCGCGTTAAATTGATCACGCGAATGGTAGAAAATACGTAGCGTGTCACTCCGAAAAATGTCTGTGCTCGCAGACACCACCCGTGGAAAAATTTCGCTCATCCGCATGCGTCGTTTGGCGCGTGGCGACAAGGACAACCTGCGGAGGAGAGGCTGAAATTGAGCGAGTTAATATGAAAGTTCTCAAGCGATGCTTGAAGACGCTTACACACGATACACGCTTTATTCTCCTCCTCCTCCTCCTCCTTGCAGATTGTATTGCAAACGCTGGAAGAGTGTGTGTGTGTTTGTGTGTGTGTGTGTGTGTGGGGGGGGGGGGGGGGGGGGGGGGGGGGCTCCTAAGCCACGTGATCGTGATCGAGCAGTTGGACACACTTTGATATCTATGGTAGCTACGTGACAGGTTAAGAGTAAAGTGCAAGCTCGTCTCTTCTCCAGCGTTCGCTCTGCTAAAGGGGAAAGAGGTTTGGAGGAGCTTCTACTTTACTCAACCTGTCATCGACTATAGGCACACTAGTGGAGACGCCGCCTAGATATTGATGGACGCACATATAGGCCCGAAGCTCTGAAGTTTGGATAGCGCACACTGCTGAGTGAAGCTGAATATTTCTCGCTCGTGTTTCGGTCGTGCGTCATGACTCTTTTTTCACGTTGCTCGTGGACGCTTAGCCGGCGGAATTTCATCGGTGGATATAAATTAGTGGAAGAAAGCAACAAGAACAAAACATATCTACGAGAAAGGCATTCTTATCGTTTTAATATGGCGCTCTAAAAGTGACCTGCCTTTTTTTTTTTTTTGTCTATTAATCTTGTTTAGTTTCTTCAGGCACTCCGTGTTACCGCGGGTAAACAGGTACTGCCACGTGCTTATAAACCAACGTGGCACGTGCATAATCAAACGCTACAGTGTCGTTTTATGCTTGGTGCAGCATTACATGGTCGCGTCTTGCGAGCGCGCTCTCGCTTCTGGGCCGGGAGAAACAGCCTTATTGCGTAACTTTTTCGGGTAGAGTTTTGTATACTGTGTGTGAATGGTCTCCTACCATTTAGTGAATGTAACGGCTGCTCATTTTCTTTTCCGGATGCAGCCATAAAGCGTATCTTTATGCTCTGTCCACCAGTCAGCTTGCTCCGTTGAGTAAGGGTCGGTCATTTGCCACATTCAATTTCAGCGTCACCTGGCAAAGAGGGCTAACGTTACGGCCCCTGTGAGCCAATGGAAATGAGGGAGCGAATCACGTCACAGCTTCTGTCGCGAGGACTGCACTCGGACGGCACGTGGTCACGCGTTTCGCTCCGATCCTCCGAGTGGCGCGTTGAGATCGTGGCCTTTGCCGTTCGCCATGCTATATGCTGAAACGGTGTATTGGATTGCTCGAACCAGGCACGTGGATAACAGGTAATGACCCTCGCAGAGCTAATATCGTAATGATAAGGATTCTGGTAGTGATATCTGGGAAAAAAGCAGGCGAGGAGATAATGTGTAAGGCCATACCGGACTTTGCGCAGCTTACCCGGTAATACGTTTAAAAAGTTGGAGAGGTCGGAGGTTCAATATTGAAAATATTAAGAGCTTGCAAAATAATAATTTTCCAAGGTATATTCAAACGTCTTTTTTTATATATTTTATTATTGTCGCGTGTAAAAAAACACCATACATGCAGATATTGAGAGAAATAATTACAAGCGACTCTTATCCCCCAAAGCAAAGGTGGCAGTAATGAAACTAATATAGATGAATTGCAGTAATTAAATTACTTTTGAGAGTAATTTTTAATGTACCTCATTTCATTTTGATGCAGGTAATGTAGTAATGCAATGAATAATTACTTCTTGGATATTTCAGGCATGTTTCTTTATTTGCCCGATAATTAAGCAAACACAAAAGCAGTTCTTGCATTTGCTAAAAAAAATAAAGCTTCTTTAAAAGATAACGAGAAAGAAACGGCAAATGCGGTTTTCGCTTGTTGCAGCTGCATGGCTCGTGTGATGGTCGGACTGGGTGTCTTTATGTGCGCGTAGCTTGAAAGCACTCTAGGTCGGACTAGAGGGTCGTGCCATCTAAATCCTGCTGGGGTTGTGTTGCTGTAACGAAGAATAGCCTTCTCCAAATATGTCTTTTAACCCTTTTCAAGATGATCTTGCCCCGAAGTTCACGCAAAGATGGCACAGCCCTCAGGAATAGTCAATAGCCAGGTCATCCGAACCTAAACGCACCGGGGAATCGACAGCGTTCGCAATACACCGGACCCAAGGTCAGTCGGTTCGGGAGAGCACATTGGTTCGCCGAGAGGCCGTGTCGCCGAGCACGGGGTGGGGGGTCGGCCGGATTCGCTGCTGCCGCGGCTTCTCGCAGTGATTTTTCTGCGTTGGGTCACGTCTTTCACGTCGCAATTATGTAAATCCGTATTCGCTTCTGTGCGCGGTAGTTTCGGCGTCTTGACCTGAGAATTCGCCTCTTCTGCCGACGACTGTTCAACGTCACCGCGCTTGGTCGAGCCGACCGATCAGGCGAAGTGCCCGACGAGACTGGTGGAAGGTTTATCGGCGCCGCTTCTTTGTTTGTCAAGTTGCGTCGCAAACTCGGAGAACTCGGGGAGGGGGGGGGGGGGGGGGGGGGGTTGTGAGTTTCGCTTGCGATGGTTTGTGTGGCCTGCGTGAACATGCTGTGCTTACCGCGAGCTCGAGTGATGCAACCACCTCGCCGCCGCACCGGACTTCGTCTACTCTGTTGGCGTTACTAAACGAAGGATGCCCATTGAAACGCCGACTTCTAATGAGAATTTATTCGTCTGTGAAAAGTGGTGTTCACGTCCAAAGTCTTAGTTCGAGATCAGTCGCTTGGTAAGTCAGGTAAGCCGCAATACGATCGCCTCGTCCTAGCACTGTCGCGCGTTGAGGCCTCTTGGGCAAAGTTAGAATTGTGCCCCACCGTCATCTTTTTAGTTCCGACGACAAAAAGTAGAAACCTTTTCGTCCTTTCCTGAGTTTCGTGCCAGGTAGTGAAGGTACCTTTGCCGCCTCACTACAACATCGTTCCGCTCGATCGGCACTGAGCTTCGCGCCAGAAACCGATCGACGTTGCCTGTGTCGCCACGTCGCGGAGCAGACGAAGAGCTATATTCTCGACGGTCGAGGGACTTGTAGCGCCCGCATTACACCCGTGGCAGCGAAGTACCACCCCCCCGCCAACCTCCGACGCGCCACCCATGTCCTCTCTTTCCTTCGCTCGTATTCTGAATACGCACATTTTCTTTTTTTTTTTTTCTGTGTGGCTGTTTAAATCAAGACCTAAAGTTACAGGAGAACTCTGAAGCTTCGCCTTTAAGAGTGGAAAGCGATAGCGAAGCGTAAACCCTCGTTTGTTCCCAAGCCTTGCACGAGTGTATGCGTGCCCTAGATTGAACTTCACGCCGCCGTATAGCGAACGGTTGCCTAATCATCAGCTCCCACGGAGCGCTGATAACGACCGCCTCTGGCCGCGGTACGTCTGTCCTCGTAATCGCTGCGGATTATCAGAGTATTCTGCTTGAAGTGCCAGCCGGGTAAGTGATTACCAATGCTGTCTTCCTGCAATGTGGTGGAATAGAAAGGCCCTACCGGGTGCAAGACTTTTGTCGGGAACTCGAGTGGCTAGGCGTGATGAAAGATCTGGCAAGTGCCAGGCCCCGCCAGGTGAACCACGTCTGGATTAGCCGCCAAGCAAAAACTGGTTGACGCAAAGGAACTGACCAGCAAGGTGGAGGGGGGTGGGTGCCTTGTCACCAATCCGTCAAACAGGGTCGTGGAGGTCGATCGAGCTTCACTGGGTCCCGTGCGATGTCCCGAATTTCCGGGTGAAAAAGGAGCCGGAGCTTTACGGCAAGGTTTCCGAGATCACCAGGGACCTCTTTCAGGAAAAGAGCTTCGAGGCTGCCGATTCCAACACCCGCAGTGTACGCCTGACCCCCAGGGAAGGCTACACCGTCGACAGCCTCCCCCACAAGCTCCGTCTGGCAGGGTGGAAGGTGCTCGCGGTGGTGGTGGCAGGACGTGCTCCGCTTTTCCTTCGGTGCTTTCGCATGGGACATATTGGCCGGGTCTGCCACGTCCTCCGCTGCACGGACTGTCACCGTTATGGTCACGAGGCATCGAACTGCGTCATGACTCAAGACCTATGCCACAATGTCGCATGACTGCAAGGCAGACGACCAGACAGACTACATTATGGACGAGGCCGAAGCGGAGGAGGCGGCCGGTGCTTCCGCGCCGGCCGTACTCCTCTAGCCCGATTCGCAAGGTGCGATTTTTGAGCTATTTAAACAGTGGGTCCTGAACTAGAATTTCGAGCATTTGTACGCTCGTTTTGTGTGGCTTGATGGGTGCCGTGACTTTGTTCGCACAAAAGCGGTTTGAACGTTTTTTGAGGGGTGTATCGTATAATATAAATTTTTCAAGTGCAAAATTAATTCCATTTGCTTTGAGCGAACAAGAAGTTTGTTTGCATCTGATTCTCGGAACTAATGTAATGATTTATCTAGCGCTTCAGCTAACCCCTCCCTAATCAATATTCATTCAACGATTTTGAAGGGGTACACTTTTATTCGTTCGATACAAGGACTGGGGGAAAAACAAAACGTACATTTCGAGTCATTCGTATGCCAGGATCATTACTTGTAGACGTATTCACAATAGCGCGGCAAAAACAAGATGTTTGTTCGAAGATAGATGCCTTACTTTCTGTGACATATAGGCAATCTTCCACCGCTCCTTCAGAAGCATTTTGTCTTTGTTGCCCGTTGGTGACTTTAAAGGGTAAAATATGTTAATACATGATGATCCTGGATTCCTGATGCATGACGATTCGCTCTCCGCACTGAGCCGGGAAAGTTGTTGATTGCGTCTAGCAAGCTCGAATGTTCACCAAATGTGTATTTTAGTGGTACATGTTATCTTGTGAATTTTCAAAATGTAGATCTCTTTCTCAGAAGAAAGAAAAAAAAAAAGACAGGAGAAACATTTTTCGGAAATTTCGATGACTGAGGCCACCGCACACAATAAAATAAACCATACCGGAAGTTTTGTTTGTGCCTGCTATCAAGACGTAGTGTAGCATATTGCAATTTTGAAATATGATGGTTGACAGTCGGGTTGAAGATAAGCTTTGTGAAATCTAACTTACTTCTGAAATTAATATATACGCTTAGGTTAACGCCTGGGTTAGAAGAAATAAAAGAAAGCGAGATTCAGAAAAGCTGCAGCAGATGCGGCCTTGGCTTCGTCGTCGGGTTACAACGAAATATGACGCTATTATTGAAGCCATCGATATCAAGGGTGCACTCACCGCCAATACCTTTTTGTTGTTCCTCCATTCGGTTGTACTTCTTTTTTCCAAACACGACTATATGCTCAACTTATTCTTCTACAAAAAAAGCAGCAAACACATGAAATATATATATATACATATTTCTTTTTTTTTTGAAGGGGTGAGGGGATAACAGGAACAACACAACGCGGCTCACCAAACACGACAATGTTTCTACAGCAAAGCACAAACTTGTACGATAAGAATAAGGATTTTATGTGACTAAATACGGAGATGAGCACGGCAATCCCCAGTGCACCCAACGTAATAAATGAAATAACTTGAGCAAGAGCTCAAACACTTGCAAACTAGGAACGTACTTTAAAGAAAGAAAAAAAAATCATCATAATTTTAGGATTATGGCGATTTCGAAACCTCGTTATGCAACATCCGAGGCCGTCATTTTTGGGCACGAGGATTGGATCCGATCCGTCGCCGAACGCCGACTGTCGTTCTCGATAGAGTGCAATCCACTTATAACGATAGCAAGCTAACCCGAAAATGCAAGCCTTATAACCGAATAGCGTTGTATGTGAACTAGAAATATGATCGTTTCTAGTCTAAAAACTGAAAAACTCAACTAAAAACATGCGAAGACTGCGTGATCAAACTATGGTTCATTCGTGTATTTGGTGCAGCAGCTGCTGGTCGGCGTCCACATTTGAAAAGGTCCAATTGTCGCCTGAGCACTATGGTAGCCGAAAAATAGACAATTTACTGCCGAGACCGGTTATAACGGAGTCGGTCATAACAAAATAGCGGCTACAGCGAAGCGATCACGATTTCCCATTCCCTTTTGTACTTCGTTATAACCGAAGTCGGTTATAACGAAGTCGGTTATAACGAAATCGCGGCTACAGCGAAGCGATCACAATTTCCCATTTCCTTTTGCACTTCGTTATAACCGAAGTCGGTTATAACGAAAGGGTGGATGTATCGAAGTGATATTCGATTCCGATCGACTTCGTTATAACCAGTCTTGACATTATTCTAAATGGCAGAAGCATTGCGGCGGTTTGATCTCCGAGATGTCTTGCGTTCGTCTCGATCTACTCTTGAAAGTTGTAATACTTGACGTCTTGGCCGTGCAGAGCGACGAGGGCGCTGCCATTTTGCCCGTCCTCGATTATTTTGACCACGCCTTTGGCCACGTCTTCGATACTGTGGGGAGAAAATGCAACAGTTGTTCGTTTCGCACCACGATTTTGTTTTCTGTGACGAAACTTGGCAATTTATTGTCAGCTTGCTATCGTGCGTTCTGATATTTATTCCAGATATCAAAGTGCACATTAAAATATTGCATGAACGAATGCAAATATATCCTTTTAAATTCATGTCTTAATACATTGTAAATGTATAAGTGTTCATACATTATTGTAAATTTATACGTGTTAATAAATCATTGCGAATTCTCGAATGTGGATAAATTGTTGTAAAGTCAGGAATATAAATAAATAACTATACATTAACGAATATGAATAATATATTGTAAATTCACGAATGTGAGCAAATATTCGTAGATTAACGAATGTAAATAGATGATCGTAAATACACGAATCGTGAATAAAGTACTGTAAATACACGTATGTCAACGAATGGTTGCGAACTCACGAATCTGAATAAATTACTGTAAATACATGAAGGTAAATTAATGATATTAAACTCACGAAAGTAAATACGTGGTTGTATATTAATAAATTAATGAATTGATATGATTACATAAGGTCCAGTTCCATAAGGCCCCGTTTTCTTTACCGTTGGACACGCTTGTCGTAATCCTGAGCGAAATTCGTGGTGTCGTCCTTGGTTTTGCAGAACTCCGAGACTCCCCACCACAGCGGAGTGTCCATGGGCTCGGGGCAGATGCAGTTCACCTTAACCCCGTGACGGTTAAAGTGGAGGTCCGTCTGTCGGAGTAAGAAAATATAATACAATTCACGAGCCCGATCATCCTAACGACGGCCGCAAGGAACACAGAATACGTTGAGTGCAAAGTCCCAGAACCGAGTCACAGAAATCTACGTCACGTGAGTTGAGGTCACAAAACGTTGTCACGCAACAATTTCTCTGCTAAATTTAGTGGGGGAATGGACGGTCACGTGGCATCAGTTTCTGCGCTAAATTGAAGTCCGTGACTCGAGGTCACGTGACTACTTCACTTAACCTAATTTAGTGGAGAAATCGGTTCTTCGTGACGGTTTTGTCGTGACATCTGGCTAATCAAACAAATTTTGTGTTAAAATAACCAACGTTGCTACGGTCACCGTCTCCGACAACTTAAATGGACACTGACGGGGTATTTATGCTCGCCGAGGTTTTTATTTCAGCATGACCTACAAGAGTCCAACTCCAGAACATATTTTGCTTTTCAAAGTTCGGTTCTTTTTTCGCCCGAAAACAGCCGGTCGAAAACTGACCGGTCTCAGTCGCGCTCATTCTCTTTTTCATAGTCACGTGGCGTTCAAACTATGTGTACCAAATATATTCAGAGTCGTGGGTCATCTAATGCATACGTCCAATATTAAACTTAGAAAAGAATATGAAGCCCATTTCTGCGGCCTCCAAAAAACTGCAAATACGTTTATTGAAAAAAAAAAATGTTGCACAGATCACAGGAGGTGCATGTATACGTCATTCTGAATATGGCGGCGTACCGCGGGCTGGATCGACGCGACGGCGCACGACATATTAACGTAGCGACGGACGTGGGGCCTCTACTTCGGAATTGTCGTTCGTGGTACCGGCCAATCGATCTTCAAGCGCAGAACATCGAGCGGAAGGAATATAAGTGCGAAGCAATCACACAACACACGGTGCATGCAAATCCTTTCACGTCGTCGTGTGCTTCACACGCTGTAAAAGGGGAGAAATAAAAAACGCGGTCGGGTGTAGCCAAGTCACGTGACTTCCGGCCATGAGCTTCCGTGGTGGTGTTTCGGTTTGGTTTCGGGGCGTTGAGTATTTCGGCTTTATTAAAAATATGCGTGGCTCTGCAGCAAAATATTGATTGGGTAGTCTCCTGACTACTAAATTTTATAACATTGAAAAAAAACAAAAAAACTTTCAGCCTTTCCATTTTGGTGAAGAAGAAAAACCAGCGAAGCTGTAGTATGGTGGGAGTGAAGTAATGGACCTTTTGTAAAAACATCGGTTCGAGAGTAAATGGTTCCAGTACCCTCTCTCTCTTCCTTTTGGCCGAGCAGAGAGGGGAGATGGTTTCGTTGTGTCGACTTCGGGGCAGAAGATTACACACGATGGGGACAAAGGCGAGTTTGGGGAAGCCGTATCTAGGGTGCCTTCATGTGCGCTTTGCTTAGGGTGGAGACATCCGGCCATTTTGTCCCACACTTCTATTTTTATTTTTTGCTCAGAAGCGCGTGAAGGAACGTGTCCCTGCACGCGCTCGTGGCGCTGACTGTGCTACGGCGACATTTTGTTTTCGTCGATTTCTTTGTATTTTATCCGTGAGCGCGTGCTGTCGGCATCGGGTACTACAAAGGGTGCCATCACCCTTAACAGAAAGACATTGAGGCACCCTAGCCGTATCTAGGTCACAGCGCCTTAATGGGTGAACAGGATGTAGCTGACGTTTTGGGTGTGAAACGGGTGGGAGAGGCCTTGCGCGCGCGTTGTTTTCTCGCCACTTAGCCTCGAATCCAGTCGCGTGTCTAGGTGGCAGCACATATTCGCCAAGAGGTCCATTGCCGGCCGCAAGTCGGCAAGCCAGAGTGGAAAGGCTGGAGGGATTGCCACCATCTATGAGCGACGGCGGCAACCAGACAACCGGCAAGCTAGTTGTCTGGTTGCTACCGTCGCTCATAGATGGCGGTAGCTGTCCAGAGTTTCGTGTCATCATTTGTTTGCTGATGGACACGATACTGGGGACACTAGCCCTTAACAGCTCCGCTGTAAAAAAATCAAAGCCGTTTGCGATTCCCTGTAACGCCGGATTAGAGCACAGCTCTTGAGGAGGAGGATGGAAGGGTACTGAGGGGTATTTATTCGGATATAAGCCGAGGTTTTTTTCCGAAATTCGTAGTCTCAAAGTCATACGCCGCCTTATGTTCGAAGCTCAGTATAGCAATATGACGATTTTTTTCTTTTTCTTGGGTCCTTCAACTGCCCTCTCGCCTTATAATCGTGACCGCCTTATATTCGAATAAATACGGTAGGTGACTTCTTGAGCTCACGTGACCTCAGTGGGGGTCGTGTGACGTCAGGGGGTCACGTGACCTTGGGGGTTACGTGACTTTAGGGGGTCACGTGACTTTAAGGGTGTACGGAAACAAAAATTGAAATATTCAAATTTCGTACGGAAATGAGTTAAGCATGACGGATAATAACCGTAAATGATAATCGCACGTTTGTATTTTGAACGACCGGCTATATTTTTCGTTCCAAACGGTGCATTCGAGCAAGCGCTCGAAGAGAAGCGAACGGAGAGCGCGATGCGTCAAGGGATATCCGGCGCAAACAAAAACAGAAAGAAAAGATTCCCCGCGTTCGTGGAGTGCAAGGCAGGCGTGGTTATGAGCTTTGCCCTTGGTGGCGTTGTCAGCGTACCGAGCCGCTCGAAGTACCCGTGGGGTGACGAGCATGTGGCTGGCCCAAGGAGAACGTAGCTTCCACAACACTGTCAGCTTGGGGCTGAGCGGGGAAGGGAAAGCAACTTTGTTTGAGTTTCGTGCGACGGGCTAATCTTCTAGGGGGACAAAGGCTGTGTCCGGTTGCACGAGCGAGGGTCCGAGAAAGAGGGGAGTCCTTCCTTTCCGTCTTCTTGGATGGTTTGGTACAATGCGCGACTTGTGAGTTGAGGAAAGCTATGAGGGAAGATGTGGAAATGCCAAAGAGCGGCGCTGCTCCGAAGGAATCTGCTACGTCACGACTACGTAGCAGATTCCACAACGTTGCTAGACTGCCTCCCAAATAGGCTCTGCATGCATCCACCAGGTGCACATTGAAAGATCGTTTATTTAGCTTTAAAATTAGTTTTCTTGTGCTTTTCAACGGAAGACTGGTGTTTTCGAGGTTAGGGTGCAACATGCAACACATTAAAGCTAGAAAATGAGCGCTGAAATTTCGTTTCCGTACCCCTTTAAGAGGAGTCACGTGACCTCGAGGAGTCACGTGGCTTCAGGGGGGTCACGTGACCTGAGGGGGTCACGTGACCTCAGGTGGTCACGTGACCTCGGGGGTCACGTGACCTCACGATTGCGCCGACGGCGACGGCGACGCCGACACCGCTCAAGCCGGAAACGGGCGCCTAAGGGCTGCGCTCTAAAAAAACTTCTGAGGGGTATCAGTGTCCCTTATAAAAATGCAGGGCGCTGCTTATCATCTATCTCCACGCTTCTTGCCGTAGTGCTGAATTTTCTGCGTCACCGATAGAAGGCCAGCGCGGCCGGGCACTCATTAAACACCAGTGTTGGGTCAGCTTTGGGCTGGGACTCGGTATCCAATCGGTGAGAACACGAGCTTCAACCGAGCGCTGACGCGGTTCTCGTGTCCATCCCGTCACCCCCGCTTGTTTGCTGACATTGAAAAATCCAGCACTATATATACGAGTACGCTCTCGGTAATTGGGAGGTGCTGCAACCGTGCCCTGTGCGAGTTGGAGGACAGCGCACGTCCGTATAGTTCTATCGCTCTGCATGCTATAGCGCGTGCACATTGACACACCCGCATATATCTATCTAATGAAAAAACAACATAAAAAGTCGACCTGCTTTTCCTCTTTAGGGGCACCGATGCCGAAAAAATAATATGTAGCTTAACCTTAAACCGCAGTAAGATTGATCCCACATCATACAAAAAACGCGGAGTTTCTCCGCAGACATGATGACAAAATTATCTGCGGATACGCCTCAAGCGTACTCCAAGCATGTTTACCTTTTAATACGTATATGTATGCGTCCAACATGTCTGCAGACAGTCTTTGAATACCTTATTAGGCTAGGTGGCGCAAGCTGCCGCCCGTTGCAAAGGATATAGCCATTCACATCCATCCATCCAGCCATCCATCCAACGTGGCAGGACTGTCATGCAAGGAAGAAAAACGCCTCAAACACCGTCTGCAGACTGTCTTCTGTACGGTGTATACTATAGCAGTGCGACCGCGGCTTTACTCGGTTCGTTCTCTTTGCTGCAACAGTGTAGCAGATGGTAGGAGGTGACGAACGCGTCACACGACAACCGCAGCGCATGCGCACTTGTGACCAATCGGCTCGCAGGAAGCGTCGGCCTTTGAATTGCAGACGTTCCCCGTGGCTTGAGGAGAGCGGGACCCTCTCTTCAATCTAGGCTGTCTGGAGAACACACTGGCACGCTGGCGCCATCTGCCGGTAACCCCAAACAACACTTTCGATATGCGGATATGGTGGGTAGTTCCTATTATTTTAAGCATCATCTACTTACCGTGGGATTGAGCTGATTTTGATAATGTTAGAATTAGGAGAAGCGACTAGTTCTTATAGGCAGTGTGTAGATTTTATCTCGCAAATACGGCAAAAAACCTTGTATTTAGTAGTAGGCAGATATTTTTCAGGGCAACTCGATAGATGGCGCGAGTGTGTGCTCCTGTATAGAGTAACTGTATAGTTACTCTACTCCTGTATAGAGTTCCTGCCAGCGCCCATCGGGGTCTCCCGCATCGAGCAGGCACTCGACTTCATGAATGAACTTGACCACATGACCTGTTCTAGGCAAAGACTGCATGGTGGCGTGGGGGAAAGTGCGACGGTGATGTGCGCACCAAGACGGCGTCATTGAATCAACGTGATCGTGTAAATGTTAGCCTCCGCCCATCACCAGGGGTCACCTACGACAGCCCAGGCAACACAAAACGTCGTGGAAACGTCAAGAAAAGTCCCTGACGTCCGTGATGTCCCGCGTGACTTCGATCACGTTTTTTCGATGTTGAGGTGACGTCCTTATATAACGTTCCATTAGAGTCCAATCAGTGACGTTGTGACGACGTTGTATTTCAACTCAAACGTCGTCAACGTTCCCACGACGTCGATGCACGACGTTTAGGCAACGTCCAACGCTCACATTTATTTGACGTTGAAGTGAAGTTCATAAATGACGTTCCATTATCGTCCTGTCCGTGACGTGCTGGCGACGCCATATTTCATCTTCTACGTCGTCATCATCGCCACGACGTCAAGTCAAGACGTTTTAGCAGCGTCGAGCACTCACGTTTCTTCGACGTTAAAATAAAGTCCATAGCAACGTTACATTATTGTTCCGTCAGTGACTTTTCAGCGACGTCGCGTTCACACCTAACTGTCGTAAACATCATACAGGACGTACTGGCAATGTCGACCGTCGCTCATAGATGGCGGTAGCTGTCCAGAGTGCTGTGTTTGCCGGTTGTCCGCTTGCCGCCGTCGCTCATAGATCGCGGCAACATTTCTTCGGAGGAAGAGGAGCGGGATCGGAATAAACGGCAAAATGCGCAGCAGCGCGAATGGTTTCGCAACCGCCGCGAGGCCGGTATCGCCTCAAGTTCCACTGCGTTGAGCGCTTCAGATTCCCTTGCGAAAGAAGAGCAGATCGCTCGTCTGGAAAGACACCGCCGAGAACAGAAGCTACAGCTCCGCTGCCCTTCCTTCTTCACCAAAGTGGAAAGGCTGAAAGTTTTTTCTTTCTTTTTTTTCACTTATTTTGGCGTGTCCAACTTAGACTCTCATTTCAAAGGGATTGCGCTTCAGCATACAATACGATATAATACAATCGCCGTGAGCGGGTACGATGCGGTCTATCACACCGTGAGGCAGATGTATATTCTTTACTGACCCCTTTTTCGCCCATGACCGTAGGAACTATCGAATGTGTTTGTGAACAGACGAGGTCAAGCCAAAAGTTGATAACATCGTCATCGACGTGTTGGGATGTCAGTTAGCAAAATTTATCGAATCTTTGACCGCTGCAACCGGAATCCGCAAAGAGAAGCAAAAATGCAAAAGTAGTTTCGAACGAATATTTCTAGTGGAAAATTAAGAACGGTGGCTTACGCCGAGTGAACGTGTCATGGCGACGACCGCGAACTTGGAAGCGTTGTAGGCTGGGATTGCCGGAAACAGGACGAGGCCTAGTAAAAAAGAAAAGAAAAAAAAAAAAGAAAACGCAAACGTTAATAGCTGCAGTTATAGGACACCCCCAATTTGGATTACGATTGTTTTGTTAAATCATAGGGTGCTTTTCTTTGCGTACACAGCTCAAAACTAAACATTTCCAGATGCGAGGAAAGGAGATTTTCTGACGAACCGTGCCAGTACGTTGGAAACGCTGCGGGATCTAATAATAAGTGATAGGAGGTCGCTTTTTTTTTATCGTTTTCTTCTCTCCTGTCAACTTGTCCAAAAACTCCATATGTAAATGATTTTTTTCGCGTGTGCGGAGACACGGGTGGTGTATCTCGTGAAGTAGGTGACGCCAAATATAGGATCAGTGCAAATAAATGACAAATACATATATCATGCATCCTTGTCTCGTGATTATGGACAGCTCACATTATGGACGATTTTTTTTTTCGGGGGGGGGGGGGGGGGGGGACCGAAGGAGTAGATATTAACCAGACATTATTATGTATCAAATTACTATGTGTGATATTACTATGTATCATATTAACGAGACATTAATATTAGTATCAAATATATCTCAAGTATCAAATATATCTCAAGTACTAAACGTATATCAAGTGCCCAATGCACTTCACGTACACCGAGGGAGAGCTAATACCCCACTAGGTCGACTTCCAATTAACTGTAAACTTCATTGTTTCTCTCCAGTGGACAGGGGGGGGGGGGGGGCGCAACAATGCAGAAAGTTCCCGCTTGGCATTGATCTCCTTCAGCTAACTGTAAACAACAAAAAAAAATGTTTTTAATTTTTTTGGGGGAGATAAGTCAGATCTAAAATTTCTTTGCACTGGTCTTATGTTTGACATTACCCACTTTACAATATACACCACCCGCTGTCAGACTTATATCATTTAACTTCTCTGCCATCTTGCAATGCCTCTGTGTTAATGTGTCTGCAATGCTTTAAAAACGAAAAAAAAGTAGTTACGCTTGGATTTAGTTTTTAGCAATAACAGACTACGTGCCACCTAAACACACCTGGGGATGAAACCCATGCCAAAAGGCCTGATTCAGCTTGTCACACACAGGTGGCGTCATCTATATTTTAATGTTGCAACTAGGCCGCACGCGTCTTCGTGCTGAAAAACCGCTCATAGAAATTAGTTCCTCCACAATGCCTAAAAAGAAGTTTAAAGAACCGTATTCGGAGCGCAAGTTGTCTGCATCTTTTGCAGGGGTTGTGGTGACGGCAGAGCACCAAGCTTTGATTGGTTCAAGGATAGTGAATATACCACAATTCTATATGCCTTGAGGTCTACCCACTATTTTTTTTCCCATCAGCCAATAAGGGCGCGATGTTCTAACGTCATCACAACCCCCGTGCAAGAAGCAGACGAACTTGCCCTCCGCTTTGACGTGTAAACTGTGTGACTACTCGCGACGTTTATTTCATACGCACCAGCCACTGAAGCGACATTGATGATGTGTCCTCCTTTGTGTCCATTGTCCTTCCCCATGTACTTGAAGCCAAGCAGGGTACCACAAAACACGGCCTCCTGAAAGTTGGTTATAGATCAAGGCACGACTCTGACGTCACACTGCTGCGGTGGCGCTGGTGTCGGCTTGGCGCATGCGCAAATGCACTGCCGACGCCTTGTGCGGTCACACGCGGGTTTGTTTGTAAATAGCGCGTTGGGGGTCTATATGACAATACAATGAAGACAACAGTACAACGACTTGTAGCTCAAGCTACCTTTGTATCTGATTGCATGCTCCAAAGGACCATCTTAAAATAAATTCAATTACACACGTACCAATTAGATACTTGCCTAATGAGTCATTAACCACTTACAAACGAGGCAAGGCGCTTTTCATTTACTTGAGCAGCTTTTTCATGGTGTGCGTCCTGTACGCTTGTTTATTCGGTCTAAACTCCATAGCTTGGAGCTTTTTTTTTTTTTTTTGTCTTCTAAACTGGCGCGACGAACTGTAATTGTTTGTTTTTACTTTAACGGTCGAGGTATTGGGGGATATTCTTCTAGTGTATTTCAGCTGGCGATGAACTCAAGGATCACTTTTCTTCAATACTATTCTAGTGTATTTCAGCTCGCGCTGAACTCGAAGACCACGTTTCTCTAATATTGGCCGCAACAAATACTTTACAGTGTTTATGGCGAATATCTTCTTCCATCTGGCTTCCCCGGCGACGCCCGCGTTGTTCACGACGATGTCGAGGCCGCCAAATTTCGACTTCGTCTTGCTGAAGCAATCTAAGAAAAGGAACCAAGGGTATGTGTTACAAATAGGGTTCGTTTTTGTTCTTTTTCACTAAATTCCAACAAACCCTGAAAATTGACCCCTAAAACAATTTTTTATCAAAAGCAGGAAAAACCAAAAATCCTCCAATTAGAGCTGCCCCTGAAAAAAAAAAAATGTCCAAGCTTCTAAGAAAGAACGTTTTTATCTACGCCTTTATTTCGTGTTGACTCGAACACAGCCCACTCTAAACTGTCCGCAAAAAGTCTTTTTTTTTTTTTTTTTTTTTTTACAATTTAGACATTTTTTTTTTTGTTTCCTCGTGTTATGTGTATACGAGCACGTTTTCCATGTATCCTGGATACAATCCACTGGAACTTGCGGAATCTTTTTTACACCTTGTTCTCATATTATCTTTGTATAATTTTTGTGTTCTATCTGTGTACTACATATTTGCCTGCCCCCCCCCCCCCCCCCTCCCCTATGTAATATCCTCATACAGTGGGCCTTTAGGGGTATTTTAAATAAATAAATGAATGAATATATATACTCCCTGAGAGACCCCGAGTATTCGTTGACATCAAAAATGTATACCGAAAAACACCGAATACTGTGTGAGAAAAAAATAACTATTGATGGCCTTTTATTAATAACGCTGGCTCACATTGTGGCTAAATTTACTTTTTAATGAAATTTTAAAATCTTAATAAATGGTTTTGTGAACATAAAGTTCAACTGAACTAGCACGAATCGATAGCAAATGTAGAGGCCTACAGGCATACAGTCTTTAATAAGCAGAGTGTATAATGAATCCCCAAGGCTCCAAATACGTCACCATAACGTCATAGATGCGATGTTTGGTTTTTATTTCATTTCTTGCATAAAATACGCCAAAACGGCTTAGTGTGAAGGGAGAAATAGCCGTGCGTCACACATTGACAAAAAACAAATCGGTGAGTATTTTTATTTTTATCTGTTTATAGCAACCTACAAAACCGAGTTCAACAATTAAGCAACTTGAACAACGCATTCCCCTCGCTCCACTTCAATATTTTTGCGTAGAAATATAATCTCTCTGACAAAAGTTTTCAAAATGGTTTTGTTAATTGCGTAGATTGAGCGATGGCATATCACTTTTTAAGCAAATAAACATACCCACCCCGACATGCGTGTTCAATCAAATGAAAGCACTCAAAAGGAATGAAGAGTCCGTCAATAGATTACAAAGCCGATCAAATACATCGGTTCGGAACGTGTCAGGCAGAGTAATCGCACTCGAAACAAAGTCTTTGAGGACGATCTTTCATTTTCTAATTGTATTATGAGGTTCGTAAATTCGCTGAGACCATTCTGTTGTTCACTGTGATTTTCCCTCTACGTGTTATGCGGGAAAGCGAACTCACATACTTTTTTTTTTTATTTTAGATTGAATTCATTCGGAAAACAATGGCACAAAAAAAAGAAAAGGTCAAACACAACGTGATTCCGTTTGTCCTTTTTTTTTTAAGTCTCCGTTTCGAATTTCCGTATGTCGAGTAACAACCAGCTCGCCTGCCTAACTCGTTATCTTCAAGAATGTGCGCTTGTTTAATTTATTTATTTCGAGAATTAGTTCGTGTGACGACCGCTCGTTGCGCGCGCTCACCTTCGAATTCCTGGTCGTCCGTGACGTCACACTTGTAGAAGACGCAGCGTTCCTTTCCGTACTTGCTCTGGAATTCGGCGGCGGTCTTCCTGCCTTGTTCCACGTCCATGTCCAGGACCGCGACCTTATTAGACACGTGTTGGAGACGAACCGGAAATGAATCGAAAGCGTACAATTTGAACACATACCTCAACCGACTCGACCAAATTTATAGTGGCGAGTGAAAGGTACTGTGCCCGTTCACTTGCGTTCCGTGCAAATGAAAGGCGCACTTGGGAACATTTGCTCGCCGTCTACAAAAATTGCAACACAAATTTCTACAAAAAGAGAAAAAGGACGCTCCAATCAATCCTCAACACGCCGAGGCTCATTTGGCATTTGACGGAACTTGCTTTTTGTAAGCTTCAACCTTTCCTATAATATATATTTAAAAAAACGTGGAGAGATTATTTTGCTTTTGTAGTGTCAGAAAAATTTCGTGACTGTACTGATTGAAATCATTTATCTCAGGGACTTCGGTTCGGAGGGGGGGGGGGGGGGGGGGGGGAAGGGGGGACGGACAGAGAGAAAGAGAGAGAGAGGCATTCTTGCTACAGTTTTTACTTTTCAACAAACTATACCATCATATTTCGTTTTGTTGGATGGAACCTTGATGGGTGTTTCGTCTCCCAGATTTTTTTTCTTTTTATCCGAATTGCAGTGTAAGCGTCAGCATACATCTACTGGCCTAGCAAAAAAGTACGGAAAAGCAGGACTTACCATACACCCTTTGCTGAGTAAAAGCTCCTCGATGGCTTTGCCGAATCCGCTGGCTCCGCCGGTGACCAAGGCGACCTTCCCCTTCAGATCCTGCATTCTGATGGTCAGTTCGTTGGGGGGGCCTACAAGACGAGTGCTTCGAAGGACTCACCGACTTGCTCCCTTTATGTAATCTCTCCAGCAAAGGGCGCATGGCAAAAAGAAAAGAAAAAAATACAAGCGCGTGTGTGGTTTTCGTCACAACGGCAACGGGGGGGGGGGGGGGGGAGGGAGGGAGGGAGGGGAAGGGGGCCTCTGTATAGTTTTGGGTATCCTAGAAATGCTAGATTTAAGAGGGGGAGCAACTCGAGCCACAGAAAGCACTTGCAATTTAATGGCGGCCGTCGCCTGGGACGATTGATCGCAAGTGCACCTGCGTAACGTTGTCGCGCTGCGAGGAGTAGAGCGAGCAGGGATGCGAAGACGCTTGGAGGGGATCGAGGGTCCCAATGCTGTACACTTTCCTCAAAAAAAAAAAAAAAAATGAACGAGAAATTGTTTTTTGTTTCTTCTTATTTTTGGACCGCGTTCCCGTTACAAGTTCTATATGTGAAAGAAAAAGAAAAAAAAAAAACTCATTTGCGTTACAGTAAAAAAATTGAACTGATCGTTACATATACGTTACATTTGTATTTTGCTGATTACGATATTTAGTTTGATCGAGCAAAGCTTTCCTTCTTTTTTTATCTATCTCATCAAATGGCAACATACGAATTTGAACACCGTGATGGAACGGCACCAGGAGAAGAAAACAAGCAAAGCAGAGTTTCATTTGTTGGTATATTCACCTTAAAAAAATCGCAGCTTTGAACCTTATTCGTGTTTGTGGTGGGCAATTCAGATCAGCCAAATCTACTGTTACCTCAAATTGCAAGAGCGTTTTACAACAACGTCACACGATTCAATCTAACAAAGTTCCTTGTTCGAACTTAACGTTAACAGTCGCTTCTCAATGTTGCTGTCCGCAAAAAGACGAGCAAGTGAAGAAGATGGTAGGGCTTTTGGATGGTCAGTCTTGAAAACTACGAATCCTTCTCGTGAAGGTTGGATTCGTTGTTCTGTTTGAAGGTCGGGGGCAAGGGGAGAAGAAATCAAGATTAATTTTTGTGCATCTTTTAAGTGACTAATGTTCGGGATACAAGGGTTTGTTCGATGTCTGGTAACCTGTACTTTTTTTGTAACTGTAGGTCTCTTTGTGGAAGTTCAGTGATGGCTGTAGTCGGCCTTAGATTTGTGGGTGTTTGAGGATTCGTGGAAGCAAAGAAGGTCGCTAAGTTTTGAAACGTCCCTCTTTCTGTGTCTTTTTCTTTGACTAAAAGTTTGGCTTTTTGTACCGCAGTCTCGTGCACTGAAAAAACAGTCAATGTCCACTAGCCCTCCTGCCCCCCCCCCCCCCCCCCCCCCCCTCACTATTACCAAGCGAGGACCGCACAAAATAAACCCTAAGATAAATAATCAAAAAGACAACGAGATCCTCCTTTTGGTAGAGATATTGTTTTTATACTTTCAGAATTTCCCTCTTCGAAATAAAACAAAAATGACCCCACTGGACGAAAAGAAAAAGAAACGCCATTCCTTTTTCCGTTTCAGTAAAAATGTAACGCGTTCCCGTTCCAGTTCCACGGATGCAAAATGGAACAGCGGTTTTCCTTCGATCCTCCTAAAAGGAACGCGTTCCAGGAACGCCGTTCCGTACAACACTGATCGAGAAGTCTTTGGTCACGTACTCGCAGCTCGTGTGGCAAACGCTGCCCATGAAACCCGTGACCCCCATCCAGCAGTTGGAGACACTCTGTACTCAAGGCACACTCGCTTTCCTATTTGCACATTTCTTAACTTCTCGCCACAGCCTTCAGCAGGGTCTATTTTGGAACCGAATGGGTCGCTCAACTGAGGTATCGGTTGAGAACCTCGGTATGCGAGGCCGTCCCAACGTAAACGTTCACTGCTTTTCTAAGAGTGGCTAAAAATTGCGAACGCTTAATGAGGCCGACGTCTTTGTTGTTTGCCCAACGGGAGCTTGTTTGCATTAGTGGGCTCAGAAAAAACATTCTTGAAGTGTTGTATGTTTCGCGCAAAAATATGAGAGTCTCGTACGTGGAAAGGGTATCGCGTGGCTCGTATCTGCGGTGTCGCTGCAGTCGTTCGGCACGGCGCATGTTTAGGAGCTTCTCCTCACGCAACTCTCGCTTGGGGGAACACACAGTGTCCCCACCTGGTGTGGGAAAACCCGGGCTTGTTTGCTGTAAACAGCGTGTTGGTGTATGTCAACGAGGTAGATGTCCTTAAAGCGATAAAGTGGCAGCTGAAAGTGACCTTCCATTAGCCGCCGCCATGGTGCGCATTTTTGACCACTAGACCTTATAGTTTTACGTCTTGATTCTAAGGAAGTACCGCGCACAAATAATTGCTTATTGATCTTCAATAGCTGTACCGGCGAGATAACTCATGTTTCGTTTCTTTCAAGTCCAAAATATGCTTTTATGACAAAAAGCTGGAGCAGCTTCGCAATGTCTCCGCTAGATGCCGTCAGCCGCGGTGCTGTATTTTGGGTTTTTAGCGGAGCTGGACACTGATTTGTGCGGCTAACAGCATTGAAAAATAGTTTTTTGTGTTTTTTTTTTACAGCGATCGCGATACAAACCTCGGCTTAGTTTCGGGTAAAAGCCTCAGGATTTGGTACGATCACGTGTCTAATGGTCAAAATTGCACAACATGGCGGGAGCCAAGTGGGGGCTACTTTCGCCTGATAAACTGGATGCCAGTTTTTCGCTCTAAGTCCCTCTACCTCGTTGGCGTATATTCTGCGTTTTAGATGCAACCATAATGAGCTGGCGTGTTAACAAAGCAATATGCCTCTTATGCAGCGCTTTTTTTTTTTTTCAACGCGTTGCGCTGAGATGCGAAATGAAACAGGTGTCACCCGTACTTAACCATGCCTCATATACTGTGAGTGCAGTATACGTTATAAGACAGAACGTTTTGTCTGCGCTTCGTAACGACCATGACGTGTGTGTTGAAGGTGTACACTCATGCTCGCAGGTCCTATCTTTAGGGTAAATCATGAGTGCAGAAGTTCACGACGTAACTGCTTTAAAGTGCGTCACTTGGTTAAGACCAACAGACGTCAAGTGACGTCATAAAATTCGGACGGAGATGAAGTATATTTGTGAACAGTGCAGTTCTCGTTGTTATAGCTCGGTTTGATTTTGAAATGAAATTTTCAAGATCTTTTTTCCTCTTCGAACTTTTATGGTAAATGACGTGAACTTGTTCATTGTGATGAGACCAAGACGTACGCTGTTTTTCCCCGAACGACTATTTAGAGAAACACAATTTACTTTTTTGCCTGGAGACACTTTTTTTAACTCCATGTCTCGTGAAAGTTTCATGACATGGTCAGACAAGAGTCAATAAAGATCGCTTTTATAGAGCAGTCATCATCAGTTTTATTAGTACAATAGGCTAGGAAGGCATGCAGGAAAAGAAAGAAAAACGAATTTCAGCATCAAACCACTTTCGGGTTCGTAAACATCAAAAAAAAAAAAAAAAATTGCGCGGCGTTGATTTTAGACGTCTCATGATGACACTCCCGCCTACTCCTGGAATTGGTAGTATTCGAGGTCGCGGCCGTGAAATGCCGTCAAAGCGGTGCCGTTCTTTTCGTCTTCGAGCAGCTTCAGCACTCCTTGGGCCACGTCCTCGACGCTGCAAGGGTAAAAAAAACAACAGCTCGTCAAGTCGCTGTCTTGCGTCTACGCAGCCAATGACGGCTTTGAATGCACTAAGCGTAACTCATGAAAAGAAAAACACAGTCTGCAGATATTGTCAGCAGAAGACTCCGTGTCTATTGTATGATGTGTGAGAAGTGTACTGCGGCTTAGTCTGGTTGTGTGGGGAGCGAAATCCGAGCTATAGCTATATATAGTATAACTATAGAGTTATACATTGAGGCTTCTATATGCTTGGAGGCTGCCATCTTTCAACACGGCGCGACTTCCTGCAACGCACTCTCGTAAGGAAAGAGCATCACACGAGTGTATAATGCTCTTTCGTTACAAGTATGGTGCTTTTCCGTTACGGGAGTGCACGACGCTCTTCCGTTACAGAACCCTCGAGATCCCGATTTGGGATCGGGTGTTTTATGGTCGATGCTTGCGAGCAGGGTGGAAGTCTGCGAAGCCGCGACGGGGAAGCAAAAAACATCACGTGAACATTCGTGGCAATACGCTTGCCGCGAGTGTCACACCCGTTATTAGTGACTCGCAACCGCCGATAGAACGTTTCTATTTGGTTTTCGACTTTCGTGCCACTGCGTTTTGAAACGTCAATCTGTACGAGCTTTAGACACGAGCGTGCTTTCTCAGCTTTCTGAAGAACTCGCCTCCCTGGAGCCGAAGATATCGCATGGAAGCCTCTGCAGAAAGCAAGAAATAGAGATGAGTACATGTTGAAAAACAGCGCGACTGGGACGAGGACACACAGAGACGAAGAGAGCACAAGACAAAGCGCTGTGTGCTCTCTTCGTCTCTGTATGTCCTCGTCCCAGTCGCGCTGTTTTTCAACATGAACTCTCACCAACTCGCCCAGTTATCGATCCTTATCAGAGATGAATATTTTGTGCTTAGCTGTCCTTACCGCTGGACACGATTCTCGTAGCCTTGAGCAAATTCCACCGTATCGTTCTTGGTTTTGCAGAATTCCGAAATTCCCCACCACATGGGCGTATTCATGGGCTCCGGGCAGATGCAGTTCACCTTCACTCCGTGACGGTTGTAGTGGAGGTCAGTCTACCCGAGACACACGCACGCATACACACACAAAAAAAAAAGAAAGTGAGTTTCGTACTCTCGAAGTTCACGAAGTGAGCAGCTGTTTTCAATATTCACGGACACTTAACAAATACGAAACCACACACTCTAAGAAATCCGGTGCATCTAATTTCCCGCCAAGCACATCAAAGAGCCAATCCCTGAAATCTTCGGATGGATATAGATGAATGACGAGGCTTGAAATATGTTTAGGCCTAAAGAAATGTCTGCGCTGCGACACTGCATGACCGCAATGTTTAACGTGCTTACAGAATGCTCTCTATCACAGCGCAGAGTGACCTTATAGAGAGCGTATAGTCCATCTGCTTCTTGCGTAGGGGTTGTGGTGGCGTCGAAACGCCGAGCTCTAATTGGCTGAGTTTGGAAGAACAGTGGGTAGACCTCAAGGCAGCTAGTATTGATGTCTACCCAGTGTCCTTAAAATCGGAGCCAATCAGAGGTCCGCGTTCTGACGTCACTGTAACCCCTGTGCGAGGAGCAGACGAACTTGCGCTCCGGACATGTTTTATGACATTCCAAGGTATGCATTTCTTTTTTTTTTCTTTTAAATTTGCGAATTGCATGGCGTTGTGGGAGAAAGACACGTCAAATAAGAATGTATGCTCACGCCAAAAGAACGCGTCATGGCGACCACAGCGAACTTGGAAGCATTGTAGGCAGGAATTACTGTCTGAATCTGTAGACCTATAAGGGAAAAACACAGACATAGTAAAATATGTATAAAGAATAGTGCTGAAAAATCGCTAAACGACACAACATATGACATTGAGTCCCAAAACGATGGAGATGATAACGGTGAGCTGAAAAGCTCTCTTCTGATTATAAAGTTTTGAGCCGATACTATAGAATGTTGGACTAACTGAAACTCGGCGTCTGCATAAACCACAAAACTTCTGCAAGAGGTTTGTGGTTTATGTTAGGAAGGGTTCGCGCAGCCTTGACCAATCTGCTCAAGGCAACAATACCCATGTCCGGTCCTTGTCCGATGTGACGGAATCAGTTCCCGCTAGCAAACGCAAAGCTCCTGCGTCTATAAGAACTTTGAAAAGTTCTTATTATTCGGACAGGATTATTTTGTGCACATTGGGTGTGGCCTGTCTTTTTGTACAAGGCATCTCTGTTGCGGTGTATACCTGCACGGGATGCAACGTTGATGATGTGACCACCCTTGTGACCGTTGTCTTTGCCCATGTATTTCAATCCGAGCAGGGTTCCACAGAATGCGGCCACCTGGAACGTGCAATCAGATGTAGCGCACACTTATATATAAACGACAAAAATTTCGTGTTTGTTTGTTTGTTGTTGTTATTTTTTGTCTGTGCTACATTTAAAAGCTTTTTCGAGTTACAAATATTGTGACTGTTACAGCGCTCCAATCTTACTAAAAGGGATCACCAAGTATAAGCGGTAGAAAATGAAAGTGAATATGCTGTAGCCATGGAAGCAATAAGTCTTGCTTTGTGTCTATTGACTACAGCTTGTAGCTGGTATACCCGATGTCGCGAAAGAAAAAAAAATTGTGCAATATGAAGTAAATATTGACCGAGTTAAAAGATTTCAGGAAGTTACAGTCTGAATGCCCATAATTCACCAAAGAAATGGACATGGTGTTCTGTCGGTTTTCTTTTTACCAAACTTTGGCATTTATTTTAATTTTTGATTATTGTACACTAATAAATTACATCGACGTTCATTTTTGTTCAATACCAATTAATAAATGAATCTCACTCTTAGGAATAATCAAAATTTTATTCTAATCTCCAAGTCAAAAGCTCTTGTCAAGAATCTGTCTTATAACATTAAAAAAAAAATACGGGGTTTTGCAGGCAATCTGTGTGTGAAGTTCAGTTACAATAATACGACATAACTATAAAAAATATCGCAATCACTAGACGTCCTTGTGGTGAACGCTGTCAGCCATCGGAGCGAATGGAATGCTGCGTAAGTGTCACGTGATCTTCAAGAGGGGCGCAGCGACGCGTGGGGCGCGCAGTCATGTGATACGTTCACGGCGCTGAATTTGCTGGGATGGCTTGCAGCCTCCGCTGCGGTTCATATCGATATATAAAACGGAGCCTAGTTGACACAACCAGTGATAGCAGGATTATTAACGTCTGTCTCTCTCGCGCATATGTGGGGTGCCCTGAGGTAATCTAACGAGCCAGATAAATCGGCGCCTGCACATAGAAAGGTCGAACTATCACAGAATGAGCACTGAACGGGTTAGTTTTACCGTGTGAAATTTCAATGCACAGTTCTCTACTTGTAAATAATTAGAGCAAAAAAGCCAAAATGAAGGTTGGGCGCGTTCGCAGACGACCGAGTTAGCGCCGCTATTTACTTGCGGCGCCATCTACCGATAAGCGTAGCGGGCAGACGACGCACTCTGTAGTCTGCTCGCTGCGCCGATCGTGAGATGGCGCCACAAGGAAATAGCGTCGCTAACTCTGTCGTCTGCGAACGCGACCAACCTTGACTTAGCAAGGTTTTCGCTCTCGTTATTTCACAGAAGTAGAACTGCGCCTTGAAATTTCACACGGTTAAACTGACCTGCTCAGTGCACATTCGAAGAACGTTTGAGATTTCTGTGTGCATGGCGCCAATGTTTCCGGTTCTTTTACAGCGGAAGGTCCACTTTGGGCACCCTGTCGTTAAAGTTTCCCATAAAAGAAGTTGATTGTTAGTTCGTCTATGTTTTCGCTAGACGAGTAACCGCTTACGGTATTGATGGCAAATATCTTCTTCCATTTCGCTTCCCCCGCTACACCTGCATTATTGACAACGATGTCGAGACCGCCGAACTTTGCTCTTGTCCTCACGAAGCAGTCTGAAACGAAAATTGAAACTGATCAGGTGTCGTCAAAAGTATCACTTATAATAGAAACAAATGGTTTTAAAACCCCAAAGTGTTATCTGCAGAAGCCAAAATAACGGTTCACTACAAATGAGTGCTGTTGAATAGTGTAGTAACTGACAACTTACTGCAAATTTATTGCTTGTTCGATAAACTAAATATGTGTTTTCTTAAGGCAAGGGTTCCACAGAATATCATACTAATCATTTGATAGGATTTAAGGTTTATGGCATGCCGAATGAAAAAAAAATAGAAAATTACGTTTTTAGTTCATAAGATCGAAAGCGCGTTCCAAGGCTTCGTTACCTTAAAGCTCATTTTTGACCAAATTATGTTCATACTGAATACATCATATGAAGAAATGCTTTGTAAAACTACGTTGCAACACCGGAAAAACCACTGTCACGCTAACATAGCGTGTCAATTTATTTAACGCAATTAGAATTCTACATTTCACCAGTTGTACTTATTTACGTGCGTCTATCTCGCTTTAATTGAAAGAGTTTCTGAAAACCAATGATCCGACCTTTTTTTTTTACGGACATCTGTGATAACGCGCCACAATCAACTTTAGGTCTAACGGATCTGTGGATTGGAACACTGAACTCAATATTTAAACGCCTTGTGTGCACTCAGACTCCTAAAAACTTGTGTGAACCTCTAAACACAACTCACCTTCGAACTCTTGGTCGTCAGTGACGTCACACCTGTAAAAAACGCAGTATTCCTTCCCGTACTTGCCCTGGAATTCGGCTTCCGTTTTTCGTCCTTGCTCCACGTCCAGATCCAGGATTGCAACCTGCGAATTTGTCGATCGGCTTCACGCTAGGCTATACTTTCAAAAGAACACCATTCATTGCGCGTGCTTCGCTTACATTCGTAGAAAACTATAAATGCGAGAGATTCAAACACTTTCGTGGAACATTCTTCTTTTATTTTTTTTGTGGCAAACTGCCTGCGTAAATCTTGTTTTCTCGGGGATGTATTGACGCCAACAAGACGTTAAGTTGGGCTACCAGGTACATAATAACAAAATGGTAAAACAGCTCTTGAATACATAGGGCATAATGAAGAGTTGTACAGACGCAAACCGCTGTATTGACTTGCAGGTCATGATTGTATGAACATGATTACTATCAGCATCATAGCGAGAAAGACAATAGTTGCTAATTGACGCAGCCATAGACGATTCACGTTAGAGTCTATTCATCACATTTAAAAACGCAAAATTACCCACACACTAGAGTGAGGAGGGTTATGCGAGTTATTGTTACGCCGCATTAAATATTATAATTAGACCACCCCGGTCCCCTTGAGGAATCTGTCCGCGAGACGTGACCAAACGGGCCGTACGGACAGGGACGACCTGTTTGGTCTTGAACAACATAAATTTTGCTCCCTCTATCTTTCTCGCTCTCTCTCTCTCTCTCTTTCTCTTTTCTTCTCTTTCTGTCTTTCTCTTTTTTTTCCAACTGCAGCACATTATATTCATGCTCAGTATTCAAAAAAAAAAAAAAAAAGACTGAGTGTTTATGGTGGAGAACCACCATACCAAGAACAAAACAAAAAGATGGGCACGTGGCACAATCGTTTGTTCGTTTCTTCGTCCTATTATTTGGGCTGTTTTCACCCTGTCTCTAGTTCACCAACTAGCCTAGCTTACAACCTTGCTGCAGTGTACAGTGTCATTAAGGTTCACTCCGCAAACGATGTGTGAAACAATAGCAGAAGAAACAGGATTTAGATTCTTTACTTCTAGATTCTGCAATTCTAGATACTAGATTCGATGTTCTTAGATTCATCATACACCTCTCCAGCAACCGATTTGAACTCGGCGCCATATTTCGTGCTTCGATGTGACTCAACCAAGGACAAACCGGGATCGAGCTGATGATGAAAGGTGTCCTTCTCAGGATCGCGGTATCCACAGATCATCTCACCTTGCAGCCCTTGTCGAGCAGGAGTGTCTCAATGGCTCTTCCGAAACCAACGGCACCCCCGGTCACAAGAGCCACCTTTCCTTGAAAATCCTTCATCTCGAAAGTGGAATGGTCTTGATCTGAACTCTATATGCACGCAAAATGGTTATTTCTGTGTCTCGCTCTCCTCTTTCTTTTATAGACCGCGTTCGGGAGGAAGGAAGGAGCTGAAACGAAAAAAAAAAAACAAAAAAAAAAAAACGCCTTTTTGTTTGGCTAATGTTTGCAAAACTTGACAGAAGCATCCCGTCGAAATATTGTGTATTTTTCTCGTCTTCGTTTCCTTTGCTTGTGACACGCCTTTTTTTTTTTCATTTATGTTTAACCCCGTATGCCTTACGTCATCGAAATGTTGTTGTTCAGCTCTAAATGCTGCTTTTCTTTTATGAACTTTAGTTGTTTTCTTGTCTGGTAGAACGCTTGAAACGAGGCAGGTTTCTCGTACGTGCCTGGTTTGTTTGGTAAACGAGTTTCCTGGCTCAGGGTTGCAAATAAAAAAAAAAAAAAAGCGTTCATAGATACAGAAAAAAAAAGGGGAATGAACACTGGACAAATAACTCGCCCAACTTACCACCTTGCTGACTCACCATTCCGGCGAAACATATGTGTATATACGATGCAAAATAAACTTTGGGAAAATAAATATTTTGGGGGGGTTTTGTTTGATAGACACGTGAGCCACAAAAGGCGCGGTCAAAGGCCCGATACCGAGAGTGTGGGAATAGAAAACATCTCGCTTATTGTACTTGCGACTCCGTAGCATTCTGCAAAGTTACGCGTCGTGGTGGTAATCAGGTTGCCCGAATTGCTCGTTAAACGACACAAAAATTCCGAATTATCAACAAACAAAAAAATAGTTAAAGGGAAGAGGAGAGGGGGCTTACTTTGGCCACAAGAAATGGCTGCGAAGCTAGCAAGTTTGTCTCGGAGCTAAATACAGAAGCATCGTGGAGATGATTCACGGAAATGAAGAAAAGTATAGTTACGATTAAGACCAATGGAGTATGAGATATCCAATTGGTAATAGCTTACCAGACTGTAATGCTAAACGATATCGAATTTCCCCGCGAAATTTAGCGGGGAAATTGATGTGACGTGACCTTTATATATATATATATATATATATATATATATATATATATATATATATACATATATATATATATATATATATATAGATATATATATATATATATATATATATATATAGATATATATGTATACCAACCTCGATGAAAAAAGGCACTCATCAGTAACGACGCAGCTTTTAAGGACAACCTATTTTTTATATATATATACATATGTTTAAATATATATTAATGCCACGTAATTTATACCTAAGGCTCCGTGTTTTCGGATAAATCCGAAAAACTTCGAAAAACACCCGTCGGTAAAAGTTTCGTCAATTCGAATTTATCCGATAAACTCCGAATATTTATGTGTCAATGCCACCCCCCTCCCCCTGCCCCCGGCAAAAGAAAAAAGTAAAATACTTTTTTTTTTTTTTACAGTTATCAGCACAGAGTTAATGGTCCTGGAAAATTCCACCATAATTATCTTTCAAATCTCGGACCGTTGTGAAAAGAGGTCTTGCCGCTTGTTTCTTCCAGGTTGATTCAGGGCAGGAGGTTATTGTACCACTTGTGTCACGACAAAAGCCACTCTTTTGGTTTCCAGTTTGGGCCATGCGATTTGTAATTTAGAGAAAGGAGAGGGTACGTTTCTGTAACAGTGAAAGCTGTGGACCATAAAGATTGCATAAAATAGGGAAGAGGGGCAGTTGGAGCTTCTCTATTACATCCTTTACCACCTCACTTTACGCGGCCGCGGGCTAGATTGATGGAATTGGATGGGAAGACTACGAGCTTCCTAGCGCCTACTCCCGGGAGTTTATTAATTTTAAAGTATCGACGTTTATCGAAGCGTCACTTGTGTGTGACGTTTTTCGTGGATAAATTAGTATTGCCAATGGCAATGGCACCAACGCCAAATTCAACTGAAGATATTTCAATTGATACACGCGCGTTTTATTTTTTTATCTGGCATACGTTTACATTCGATTATTATTTATTTATTTATTTCTAATAGGAAACACAGCGAAATTGAACCCCGAATTTCGAAGAATTCGGAATAAAAAAAAATATAAACTCTGATAAACTCCGAATCTTCGGCAAAAAATAAGCTCAGAAAAACACCCTCCGAATTTGACAAAATATAAACTCCGAAAACACGGAACCTTACTTATAACAGACAATACTGTATATAGTCTCCTAAACAAAGTAAAGTGATCACTTCTTAAATAGTGCATTTCATGCATTGTAAGACTGCGAAGGTAAATGCCCGTTCTTGTTTGCACGCCTGGGTGGCTCTTGTTGGACGTTATGCTAAATATTGGGTCGCACGCATCGCAGAGAAAGGTTCGACAGTGTTGCTCGCTATTTTTATTTTAGCTTGAGTTTAGAGCAATTAAGTAGGCGCAAATGTTTTGAGCTATAAGCTAGGGTTTCATGGTCACACCATGTCGGCGTTGCTGTACACGCCACAAAAGTGTATCCATCTCGACGCCGGAAGAAAAAGAACAAAAAAAAAGTTGTCTTCCGCCGTGCTTTGGCTTCGTCATGCGCGACCAAAGCACAGAGGAAGGCAAAGATTGGGTGCAGAAGTTCGGGCATCTGGAAGAGGCACCCAACTGTTCTCGTCACGTGATTGACTATTCGCTATGAGAAGCTCGCGAGGGGCGCTGCTGTTTTCCTCACTAAGGGCAGTGTACGTGGCATTGCACGTGCTTGCATCAGCAGAGGAAGTTGAAGTATCCTCACTCCCGGTTGTGAGAAAATTTCCCCAGGCGGCGTTTCCCAAACCTCTTGCCGCGAGCAAGATGAAACTGAAGTTGTACACAAACGTGCAGGACTGCCTTCGTGTCGTGCCAACACCACCTGGACAGAAGGCCTCCCCACGCGTCATCATAGTCAGATCGATCGAGGCGAGAGATTGGGCACGAGTGCTGCGTCAGTGTTCGGCTGCGGCTCGTAGCCAATCAGCGCGTCGAAGGTCGGGCTCGGGTCCAATAGCCGACCGAGCGCGATCCGACTGTGATGACGTTTCATAGAAGAAGAGGAAACCATGCGGAGGCCTTCTGCCTAGGTGGTGTTGGTTGTGCACGGTTCCAACGTGGTTCGTGTGTTTCCAACTCATTGATTCCGATTTGTATGGACCTCAGTCGCGTGTCTCAGTGGTGCAACCCAAGAAATATACGAGGGTTTCCCGTCCTGGCACGTACGCATCTTGCTACTTTCATAAAATAGTTTCTTTGGAGCGAGGGCCATCATGTATGCACCTCTGCAGCCGTACTTTATCTGATCTTATCGTCGGAAATTTACGTTCAATATAACACCGAGCAATTGCAATCGCAGACACAGATGAGCATGCCCCTCTAGGAAGCTACTATATCTTATAATTAATCAAAGTTCCCCGTAATACAGTTTCGTGGAACCGCCTTTCATCGGCTGTCAGATGCCATCTACGTACCTGGATGTGATTGCCTTTAATCATTGTTTTCGCGATATTATAATTCTAGCGTTTCGTTAACAGGTGTATATTTTCATTTGTATATCTTGTTTTCGTATTAACAGATTATATATGTTCTGACCCACTCCACTCTGTAATGTTCAGTCAACTAGCTCAAGTCCACGCCTTGTTTCTGTAATGCCTCCTTGCTCTTAGGGAGCTCTGAATAAGCAAATATACACCTAATTTATTTATGAATTAATAATTAATTTATTCATTCATTTTATTTATTTATTTATTTATCTATTTATTTATTTAGTATAATATTATTTCCTTGTTTTGTTTGCAAACACTACATTCTCCATTTGGCGACATGGTGAGAGTGGGTATTAGAAACAAAATATAGCGGACTTGTGGTAACCCCCAGTAGAGTCAGAGCGATATATCTGTGACAAGTCGCGGCCCAGTCGTTGGGCATTTAAAACAAAACAAAAGCAGTCGAAAAAAAAACAAAACGGCTGTCATTTATGGATCCAAGCAATATTTTTTTTTTTTTTTTTCCAGAGGGCGTGAAATCGAGGCTCCTGGCACGAGATCTTGGCATTGGCAATTCTACAACGGCATTTTTATTTTTAATTTTTTCTCCAGAGAGCGCGTGCAGTGGGGCATCGGATACAACTAAACCCCTAACTATTCTCCCCTTTTTTTTGGCAACGAACTCAGTGGCGCCATCTATTGGGTAGCCCCGGCACACTTCCGACTCACATATATTTCCTCGTTTTTTTTTTACTCGTCATCTTTTTATCGTAAGTGCGAATGAAGTCTGACAGTGCTATATAAGGGGTATTCATGTTACAAGGCGCAAAAACACGGACACAAGAGAGAAAGAGACAAAACAGGCGCCTGTTTTGTCTCTTTCTCTCTTGTGTCCGTGTTTTTGCGCCTTGTAACATGAATACCAACGTTTACCAACTAGCCCAACTACAAGTTCTTCTACTATATAAGGGGCCACTTCCCGAAGATAGCGCGTATATTTCAGTTCGCAAAAACTGCGAAACCCGCCGTCTAGTCAAGAACCGGGTAGGGTGTTATTTGCACACTGGCGCCGCCACGTTTCAACTGACCCGAGAAGAGCAAATAAGGCGGGTTGTTAACGCTGTAACTTAGCTCAGTGCTAACACCTCTCCCCCTCCCCAATTCGCACGCAGCGGAGCCAAGTTCGATTCCCGCGGGCGGCTGGCGATCTTTTCTTTAAGGATTCGGCAACATCGACGACGGGCACCCCACACCACCGTCAACTACAACATCAATATAAACAGCTACAACTACTACAACTTGTGGTGCGGTGCTTTCACGCCCCTTTCCCACTTTAGCGCTCGCGCGCTCAAGTGGGAGGGGGGCGTGAAAGCACCGCACATCCCGCTATAAGAGTCAGGCCAACTCTCTGCCCAGCGGCAGTCGCCGCTCGGAACCCGAAAGGTAATAAACGCTTGTCTTGTTGAGATGAATTCCGGGTGTCGTAGCTCCCTACGGGCAGCAGCAAGGTCAGACCGCTGCAAACTACAACATCAACAACTGACGTTATTTGCAGGGAAGGAAAA